TTAGCTCCTGGAACAATGCCTGCTGTATAATAGAAATTGAGAAAGTAATTCATGTCAGGTGAATTGCCATTCCCTTCAGAAACCCCATGAAACAATAGAAAATGCATTCTTAAAAATTTGCCATCAGGTGAGAGAAGTTGACAATTTGGGAAGCAGGTGCTATTGCCACAGCTGAGTGCAGAGAGCTAAAGCCTGGGCTGTGAGGGGCCAGCATGGATCCTGTAGCTCTGAACCTTGCACTCCATGTCCCCAGGCCCCTCTGAACTCAACACAAGGAGGATAGGTTTAAATAAGGGCAGGGGCTGAATGGCTGGGTGGCCCACAGGAAGGACACAAGAGGTCTACCCTCCGAGAGAATCAGGCACGGCGGAGGCCAAGTGTAAGTCCATTTCAAGTGAGGAGACCCTGGCTGCCCCTCATTCTTAGTGCTCAGGTAGGGGCCCTGTGGCAGCAGACAGTCTTTGTTGAATAGTCATCAGTCCAAGAGACATGAGCGCCACACTCCCCAAGGTTCCTGGCAGCTTTATTGTAAGCCCAGTTCACAAGAACTTCCCATGGGTTTTTAATCCTCACCCGAGGATATGTTTTTTATTGATTTGAGAGAGAGACACACATCAATGTGAGAGAGAAACATTGATCAGTTGCTTCCGGTACACAGCCCAACTGGGGATTGAACCTGTAACCTGGGCATGTGCCCTGACCAGGAATCGAACCTGCATGGAATCCAACCAACTGAGCCACACCAGCCAGGGCTCCTACAGGTTTTTAGGATCTCTGAGGAGTAAATGGACAGCCAAGGGCCACCGCAAGGTGAGGAACACATTCGGGAACCTTAGCAACCTTATAATTAATGTCTAACATAAAGAATTACTGCACCCAAGAACAGGATGCTGTTAGAAAGGAACATTCCAGAAAAACAGACAGAGCTTTTAAAATAACAGAATTTTTAAAAAGATCTTAGAAGGGCTGGAAGATTAAGTTGAAGGTATTTTCCAGAAAGTGGAACAAAACTATAGCCATGGGGGAATAGACGAGAAAACTGACCATTAGCCCAGAGGTCACTCCCTGGCTAATGGGGGCCCAGGATGTGGGACAGAGGAGCATGTGGTTAGAAGGGTGAACTGGGGAACTGAAGGGCTCCTGGGTTCCCTGCACAGAGAGTGAAAAATACCCCCCAGACCACTGGACAGATAAAGCCCTTAAAGCTTTCATAGTAAGAAGGTCATATGAGAAGGGCTAGGAATCAAACAGCACTCTTTCCCCTGAGAGCCTCTGGTCACCTGCTGGTGGCCTCCCCAAGCCCTGTGTCCATCCAGGGAGTGTCTACAGTCCTAGGATCTGAGCTCTGGTCATCCCAGGTGTGAGCTGCTTCCGTCCCCAAGAAGCCTGCTCAACCCCTGTGCACCAGCAGTGATTCCAGTGCCCATAGCTGATTTCTGTTCTGAATGGTCATGACTGTGCTGTACAGGGCATTAAATTTTTTTCAACTATGTTTTTATTGACTTTAGACAGAGGAAGGGAGAGAGAGAGAGAGAGAGAGAGATAGCATCGGCTGCCTCTTGCATGCCCCCTATTGGGGCATACTGTTTTCCGGGTAAGTGCCCTGACTGGGAATTGAACCTGTGACTTCTTGGTGTATGGAATGACGCTCAACCAACAGCCATGCTGGCCAGGGCAGTATTAAATGTTTTGAATGAAGCCTCTGGTCATTTTTCAAAGTGGGTGAGTGAAATTCTTCAGCAACAAATCTTCAGACCAAAGAATTGTCAGAGCTGATTCATAGTAAAGTTTGGTTGACACCTATCTTTGTTTACAGGAGGAAGATTCTGTCTTCCTACCTGCCTCTCTCTTTGGACTTGCTATGTTTATATTTTCTATGAATTTATAAAGCACACTGTAATTTTTTATCCAGATTTGGGACGTAGCGGGGTGGGGGACAGAATAAACTTGAAGAATATACTTGAATTTTAATATTTCAATATCCAAGTGAGTGTGTCAGCGGAGGAGTTCTCCATGCACACCATCTCCCGTTCCCCTTCCTCCCCCACGCGCCCCACCACACTTTGACTTCTTGGCTCCTGGGCAGTCCTCAGCTCTCGGCTGGACCCTGCTCTCCCCTATGTAGGGACTTGCTGCCCACTTTACTCACACAGGTGCTCAAGCTGGAGCCAGGCATGGAGGCCACCTTTCCTTAGAGGCCAGTGCCAGCACCAGAGGGCTCCAGAGAGCACAGTCACTGTGAGACCAAATCCCTCTAACTGAACTTCAGCTTTTCTGCAGTGTTCCCTGAGAATCTTGTTCTCTAATGAGCTCTCTGACCCAGTGGTAGGTGGGTAACTCTGCAGCAGAAGAAGTGTCGGGAGGACAGTGGCCCCTCCTTGTTACCAGTTCCCACTCTGAGTGCCTGTCCCCACTGGTGCCATGCATGTGTTTGGCAGTATTGAGCAGAGCTGCTGGAGAGCAGGGATGGAGCGTCCTTTCTGACACAGACCACAATTAATGACCTGATGTCCTGGGTGGAACTCAGGTAGATGGGTCTGCAAAGTGCCCAGGGTGCACAACACTCATGATGCTGGATGTGGGAGGGAGCCCAGAGCTGGGTGGAGTGTGGAAGCCTTCTCCCTGTACCCTGTCTCCTCCTGCGTTCTGAGCCTGTGTGGCTGATCTGCCACATGGAGTCAGATCTGATGTTGCCTAGAAGATGGGCACCCACATCCAGCCTTCCTGGAAATTACCCTCATGGGGTCCCTCTCACAGAAGCTGTGGAGACAGGATTAAGAGGAGGCAAGTCCTGGGCCAAATCTGTGCTTCCTGTTTGACAGACTTCCAGGAGCTCCCGCCCAACGAATCTGGTTATCGGGAGATGAGAGCTGAGGGAAGGGCAAATGCTGAGAAGGTGTGGTGGCGGCAGGCCTGAGTTTTGTTTCTTCCTGAGGAATGGTTCTTTTTTTTTTAATATTGAAGGTTTTTTTTTTTAAATATATTTTATTGATTTTTTACAGAGAGGAAGGGAGAGAGATAGAGAGCTAGAAACATCGATTAGAGAGAAACATCGATCAGCTGCCTCCTGCACATCTCCTACTGGGGATGTGCCCGCAACCCAAGTACATGCCCCTGACCGGAATCGAACCCGGGACCCTTCAGTCCGCAGGCCGAGGCTCTATCCACTGAGCCAAACCGGTTTTGGCGAGGAATGGTTCTTTCACATGAGAATATGTGCAAGAGACTCTCCTCTCACTTTAAAAAAATATTGTGGTAAAATAACATAACATGAAACTTACCATTTTAATTATTTTTAGGTGTTCAGATCAGAGACACAATAAATGCATTTACACTGTTGTGTGACCGTCACCACCATCTTCTCCGGAACTTTTCCATCCTCCCAAACTGAAACTCTGTCTTCATTAAATACTGACTTTCCAATCCCCTCCCCCAGCCCTGATAACCTCTAATCTACTTTCTGTCTTTGAAGCTGACTACTCTAGGGACCTCATAGAAGTGGAATCATACAGTTTTTGTTCTTCTGTGACTGATTTCCCTAAGCATGATGTCCTCAAGGTTCATCCATGTTATAGCTTGTGTCAGAATTTCATCTTTTTTTAAGGCTGAATTGAATCCCATTGTATGTGTAGTCATCCTTCCGTGGACACTTGTGTTGTTTCCACCTTTGACTATTGTGAATAATGCTGCTATGAACCCAGGTGTACAAATACATATATGTTCAGTTTCCTGCTCTCATTTATTTTGAGTACTAACCCATAAGTGGAATTTCTGTATCATATGGTAATTCTGTGTTTAATTCTTTGAGGAATGGCCATACTGTTTTCCATAGTGACTGCATCATTTTACATTCCCACAAGCAGTGTACAAGGATTCTGATTTCTCCACACCCTCACCTTTCTGTTTTTCTTGGTAATAGCCATCTAATGAGTATAAGGTGATCTCACTGTGGTTTAATTTGCATTTTTCTGATGATTAGTGGTATTGAGCATTTTTTCATGTGTTTGTGGTCATTTGTATATCTTCTTTGGATAAATGTCTAAGTCTTTTGCCCAGTTTTTAATTTGTTTCTATGTTGTTGAGTTGTAAGATTTCTTTATATATCCTAGATAGCAATCCCTTTCAGATATGTGATTTCAAATATTTTCTCCCATTTTGTGGGTTGCGTTTTCCTTCTGTTGAGTGTCATTTGATGCATGGTAGCCAGGTTTTCACTTGCAGGTAGGAGTTGGCCAGGCAGAAATAGAGTAGGGGAAGAGGCACCAATGCCTGAGGCACCAGGAAGGTGCTGGGTGCAGATGCTCTGGGGTCAGCTTGTACGTGCACGCTCACACAATGTGTGAGAGACACTTACGTTAAAATGCCCATTTCCAAGCCCTGTTGGAGTAAGTGTTATAAAAAGTCATGAAACAGCCTTTTTAAGGCTTAAGAAGGAGGGAGGAAACACTGAGCCTTTAGGAAGTTTCCAGATGGTCCAGAAACCAGTTGAAGATCTTACATGTAAGGTAACATGTCCAGCACTGTCACTGATCCTTCCGACTTCTCTTGGACTGACTTTTTCCCATAAAAATATAAAAATATTAAAAACTAAAGATATGGCATGCATAGGTTCTGCAGAGAGCTCTCCAGAGAAATGGCATTTTAGAAATTACTTTACCTTTAATAATATTCTAGGCACACTCCAATTGTCAGTACCTAGGGGCTATGGTGAATCCAAGAACTCAGAAATTTCTCTACTTGAGATCCACATAAAGTAGGTCAGATGGAGATGAGCTCCTGCTGGCCTGCTGAACTCTACTCCTGTGCCATCCTCCCTTTGACTGGTGCTGTAGTGCCCAGCAGTCTGGGTCCCTGGGCTGGAGCCACAAGAAGGCTCCAGCTGGGGGTAGTCTGTTCCTCCACGGCTCCGCTAGCCTGTAGAGGCTGAGTGCTGACAAGGCGGATCCTGGCAGGCTCCTCTCCAGGCGTCGCCTTCAGCAGCCCTTTTTGCTTCCTTGCAGGGATCGACTACAAGACGACTACCATCCTGCTGGATGGCCGGCGGGTCAAGCTGGAGCTCTGGTGAGTCGGGCTGTGTGGGATTGCGGTGCCTGGGGGTGGGGGACAGCACTTCAGAGTTATAGCTGGAGCCTCAGAAGCTAAATGAATAAGTCAAGAATCCTTAAAGGAACAGGAAGGAAGGAGTCCTGTTAACATTGTAAGTGGAATAGCTGTTAAAGAGATCCTGTGTAAACATGGAGTGGATTCTGCTCTGTGATGTAAAAACCAAAAGGTCCAGGGCCGTCTGTTCTGATAGAGCCCAGCTCCCCTACCCATACTCATTTCCACAGTAGCCACAGCCCCCCTTTGCTCCCTTTTACCAGGCTATACATTTTCCAGAGTCTTGAAGTTGAGATGTGAGTTCCCATAGGTTTGGGATTCTCCAGCCTGGCAGGGTGGTCTCCAAGAGGCAGCGGTCACGAACTGGTGGTCTGCGGACCACTGGTGGTCTGTGAGGTCTGAAAGGCTGGCGACCGCTGGTTTAAGGAAACCTTTGGAGCAGCGGTCGCCAACCGGTGGTCCGCGGACCACTGGTGGTCTGTGAGGTCCGAAATGCTGGCGACTGCTGTCCTAGAGCACTCAGGCCCCAGAGGTTGGCCAGTATAAGCTGTGGAGGGGGAGGGAGAGCACCTTGTAGGGATCACGCTGCACATGCCAGGTCCCACAGGACACATCCCACTGACTCCCCCTGTGTTTCAGGGACACGTCGGGCCAAGGCAGGTTCTGCACCATCTTCAGGTCCTACTCCAGAGGCGCACAGGTAAGACCAGCAATACTGCCGGTGTTGCTCTCCAGAGGGACAAGGCATATTTCTGTGCTGTCAGACCCCATGTGTGTGACTTTTAACAAGTTTTTATGTTGGGACATCAGGCTTCCACTAGGCTGCCCTCTGAGCGAGGGGCCTCAGCTGTCAGAGGGCACCAGGTCCCCACCCCCCACTCTGTGTTGCTACTCTGAGTTTCCACCGGCTCCTATGGTAGTGCTGGGACCCTGCACTGTGGAGCCTCCACTTAGTCACCTGGTTCACTAGGAACCAAAAGTGACTTCCCTGTCACCCAGGACCTCCATGTATGGAGCGAGGAGGCTGCTGGGGCAGCCAGGTCCATCGCAGGGCTAGGGGCTCCCAGGGCGGCTGGACTGTTTTCCTAATCAGGACTGTGGGGACTGAGCTTTGGAGCCACTGTGGGAAGGGCTGCTCATAGGGACAGGGTATTAGCAAAGAGCAGGAGATGGGGGCTATCCGGGGGCTGCCATGGAAGTATGCCTAAGTTTGGGTCAGTGTACAGAGGTGCAAGGGCACCCTGGGAGCTGTACAGAGGCATTCTGGGGGGCAGGATGTGGGGGCTTACTTATCCTCTGGTCTCCCTGAGCATGCTCCAAGGAGAGGGGAGAAGTAGTTGCAAAAACCGGCCAATTATAGGCTGTCGCTGCTGTGTCAATGTGAGGAGTCTGATCAGTCCTGTCTGTAATTCAGAGCAGGCCATGACCCCCCCGCCAGACTTCTGGAATTGCCAAGGAGACCCCCAAGTTTAGACCTGCTCTACACACCAGGCAGGGTCCTCCACTGGGACCAGCATTCCTGGGAGAGGAGGCACTTGGGCGTGTTTTGGGGCCTCTCACGGTGTGGGGCATGAACTCCAGGTGGGTCTGCACTCAGCAGGAGCAGGGGCTTCCTGTCACCCCCTCACTCTGGCTTGGACTCATGGGGAGCCCCATAGGATGTCCTTTTAGCTTTGTCAGAGTTGATGAAGACTGCAGCTACCTACCTTGGCACTCTGCACTCCTGCTGATCTTGCTGCTGCATGAGACCTGAGGAGGCTGAGGGAGAGAAGTCTGTGGCAGGGGTCTGGCTGAATCTGCTTACATGTTGTTAGGGACCCCCCCGACCTGTGCCTTCCTCCAGGGCCTTCCTCAATAGGGGCCTTTTAGACATGGTGGGAGGCAGGGAGATACTGGATGTGGCCTTCTCTCCTCAACGGGGGTGCCGAGGACCCCCCAGGCTGGGCTTGGCAGCACTTGTCCTAGGAGCATCTGCAGAGGTGTGGGTGATAGCACCTGGAGCCTTAGCTTGATGGTCCCCCAGTGTGTGTGGTGTTGGGGGCCTGTAAGCAGTTCCACCTGGAGCAGCTAATCCTAAATAATCAAGGTGTGGATCATAGCTTGGGAACGTTTGTCAGCACCAGAGGTGAGGTTGAATAGCTAGAACTGCCTGCAGAACCCAGTGCCCTTTAGATAAATGCATCCCATGGGTCCCTTTCTTTTTTTTAAGAAGACTGCGTATGTAATTTTACACTTCACTTACAAGGAGATGAGAAAGCTGTGTTCCAAAGGTGCTGTTACCCCGAATGACGGGGTGGCTGAGTTCTGTTGTCTTCCTTATGCTTTTGACTATCTCCTAATGGTCTACAATAAACACATACTACTTTTGAACTAAAAAAGAAAGTGAAAAGATAAGGGGGTAGTTCTTGGGCTGTGATAATGAAGGGCAATTGGGAAACATCAGGAAGGCACTGAGGTCAAACCTGGGAGGGCTCAGCTGGTCTGCGCACTCTGGGTGTGAACGTGGAACCGTATGAAGACAGTTGTTTCTGTTCAGCTAATTGAGGACACCTAACAAGCTTGGGCATTTGTCAAAATATACAATGTTTCAGGGAAGCAAACACTGAGTCACTTTCATTCTCTCCAAAGCATCCAGTCCAGTTGGTTGTGTATTTGTTGTTGCTCTTGCTTTAATTCTGGAGGTTCTTGTCAATTCTGAGCTGAAGGAGCCAGTCGCACATTTCGGGCCTGAGTGGTGAGTGGTAGGGTCTGAGCTCAACTCTGCCCTCCTGTGTTCTTACTGCACTGGCTTGTTCTGCTCTGTCCCATTCCCATCCTGCCTGATGGTGGCAGCGCAGACGTGAAGGCAGCATCCAGAGTAGACCGCCTGGTTTTGCTGCTCTGTGTGGCCCCTGATGGTACATTGAGTTGCAGGACTGTCTTTCCCAGTCAAGTTTTATATTTCCAGTCACTTTCTCACCCTTGGTTAAGACTGGAGAGACCTTACGGGTCCCTCAGGGCCCAAGTTACAAAAGCCACCAACCCCTGACTGCTGTCATCTGTTCTGCAACAGGACTGTCTTGTAGTTCTTACCATGAGCAATAACCTTTCTTAAAAGCTTTTTTTTTTTTTTTTAATTTCAGAGAGGAGAGAAAGAGAGAGAGAGAGAGAGAGAGAGAGAAAGAAACATCAGTGATGAGAGAGAATCATTCATCAGCTGCCTCATGCACATCCCCTACTGGGGATCAAGCCTGCAACCCAGGCTTGTGCCTTGACCGGGAAGGGAATCAAACCGTGACCACCTAGTTCATATGCTCAACCACTGAGCCACACCAGCTGGGCAAGAAACAACCTTTCTGTCCCTGACCTCCTATATGCATGACCCTTGTTTTGTGTTGCCGAGATGTGATGTGGCCATTCATGGCCCTGGGAGGTTAGCACCTCTGCTGCTGAAGAGAACAGGTCCCCTGGGCGCAGTGTGCTGAGAGCTGGAGGCGGGGGTGGAGTGGGTGTCCTGTTTAGTTGAGGGTTTGGGGTCAGCTGGAAGAGCAGGTCTTCCTTCTGGACAGAGATCAGTTTGTCCACACAAAAAGGGGTTTCAAAGTGGGGGGTGTGCACTTACCATTTGGTGAGTGCTGATTAGGACCGATCAGGTGGGTGGGCATATGGCTCAGGGACATTTAACAGTTGCTCCTCATTTTCAGTGCGTCACTTACTTCTGGGCAGAGGCTTCCACTTGCAGCCTGAGTTCCTTGGGAGCTCTCCCATACAAATGCATGACACATGCCAAAATTGAATTGAATTTTTTGTTTGTTTGTTTTTTTGTTAATCCTCACCTGAGGGTATTTTTTTCTGTTTATTTATTTATTTTTTTTTTAGAGAGAGAGTAGAAGGAAGGGAGGGAGAGAGAAAGAGAGAAACATCAATATGAGAGAGACACATTGATTGGTTGCCTCCTACACACATCCTGACCAGAGCTGGAGATCAAACCTGCAACTCAAATATGTGCCCCTTGAACCTGGGACCCTTCAGTTTGTGAGTCGATGCTCTGACCACTGAGCTACCGGCCAAGCTAGTTTACGCTTTTCAATGTTACATAGATAAGCAAAAGCAAGAGCATAAACCCTCATCCAGCCTTTGAAAATGTGGTTACATCCATGGAAACATTTTCTGTGTGGTGTGCTCTATGTTTATATTTCTATTTTAAAATACCATACTGCCCTGGCCAGTGTGGTTCATTGGATAGAGCAGCCTGTGCACTGAAAGGTTGCAGGTTTGAATCTGGTCAGAGGCACATACCTGGGTTGCAGGCCCTTGTTGGGGTACGTGCAGGAGGCAACCAACAGATATATCTCTCTTACATTGTGTCTCTCTCACTCTCTTTAAAAATTAATGGAAAAGCCGAACCGGTTTGGCTCAGTGGATAGAGCGTCGGCCTGCGGACTCAAGGGTCCCAGGTTCGATTCCGGTCAAGGGCATGTACCTTGGTTGCGGGCACATCCCAGTGGGGGGCGTGCAGGAGGCAGCTGATCGATGTTTCTCTATCATCGATGTTTCTAACTCTCTATCCCTCTCCCTTCTTCTCTGTAAAAAATCAATAAAATATATTAAAAAAAAATTAATGGAAAGAATATCCTCAGGGAGGATTAACAAAAAACAAACACCATATTTTACATATTATTTAGGATCCGTGCTTCTCACTATGCAGTCTGTTGTGCACCTGCCCAGGATCAGCATGTGTGCACCTCAACTTACTCAGCAGCTCCCACTGCATGTGCAGTTTGTCTCATGCTGTGATGAACATCTGTGAGGGCTGGTCTTTGGACACATTCTCAGTGATTTCTTAGGAGGGGATTTGGAGGGTCAATGGCACGTCTCCATCCAACCCCAGACCAGAGGGCTTTGTTCCCTGTTCCCCAAGCAGCAGGACTCACTCCTGCTACCCCATGGTTCCCTTCCAGTTTTATTCTCTGTCCCCATCAAACTGGTTTGTTTCTTCAAGTGGGCTCAAGGGAGGGGGTCTTTCCTTCCAATCATAGCCCTTCCACATGGGGAGGTAGGCAGCTCTGTTTGTTCTATACAAAGCTTTCCGTCCAGATGCCACTGGATGGGCGTTCAGTAATTCCTACATTCCTCTTAGCAGGACCTAGGGCAGTGATGGCGAACCTTTTGAGCTCGGCGTGTCAGCATTTTGAAAAACCCTAACTTAACTCTGGTGCCGTGTCACATATAGAAATTTTTTGATATTTGCAACCATAGTAAAACAAAGATTTATATTTTTGATATTTATTCAACCCAAAAAATGAGTTCGCGTGTCACCTCTGACACGCGTGTCATAGGTTCGCCATCACTGACCTAGGGGCTACATTTAAGTCTTCCAAAATTTGAAGAACATTTTTAAAGAGAAAGGCTTTAAAATCACTCATTTTGAGATGGAGACATCCTGTGCCTTCCATCTCAGCTGCACTTTTTCCCTGTCTCTGTGTGTTGGGAACATGGGCTGAATGAAGACACGGTGGGGCAGGGAGGGTTGTGAGCCTGCTTCAGAGTGGAGTGCAGGTCCAGATGGGCGGTGTGAGGGTCTGGGGGCACTCTGTGGAGTCACTTTCCTAAGGCCTATGACAGGTCACTGCTGAGACATTCAGAGCAGATGGAGACAGCCTAGAGCTGAGCTCTGAGTAATTAGTCTCTAAGGGATGTGACAGGAAAGTCCGTAGCAAACCCCCTGCTGGCCAGTGGAGCTGCACATGCAGCTGCTGGAGTAACTGATGCCCTGCTCTGCAAGTTTGGGCTGGAAAACTCAGGAACACCTTTGCTCAGCTTCCCTGGGGCCCCAAGGAAGAGTACACTGTTAGAGTGTCAGGCAAGTCGTCCACATCTGCCTACCAGGATTATCCACAGGGTGTACCCCACACTGTAGATCTGCGTGCATCTGTTTTAGCACCCATGACTTTCAAATGGTCACAGGATAGTGCTTCCTGTGTACTTGGAGGAAAGAAGTTAAAAAAATGCCACTTCTGCCCTAGCCAAGTCCCCAAGGGGAAGGAGGGGGCAGCATTGAGCCTATGAGATCCTTGACCATGGATGACATTGCTGCCACCCCACATAAGGGTGTCCAGGGCCACATGGACCTGGCCAAGGCGAGAAGACACAGTGTCCAACATCAGAGACCCCTCTTAAATATGACAGGGTGTCTCACAGTACATTGTCTACATTGCCATGTGTTAAGTAACCTGTACGATCCCCTGAAAGCTATCTGGCTCTGCCAAGTGTCCCTGCCCTGCCTGTCCTAGGAGGAAGGGTGCATGTCCACGCCGGGGCCCGTGCCAGAACAAGAGGCCTCCATCTGGCCGACCCCTCGGCCTCGTGACACGCTTATCTTCCTTGCAGGGGATCCTCCTGGTATATGATATCACCAACCGCTGGTCCTTCGATGGCATTGACCGATGGATCAAGGAGATTGATGAGGTAGGTGGACACCCCCTTCCATGGTCATCCTCCCCAGGGCACGTGTGCTCCCATCCCCACAAGAGTCTTTGTGGCCCCAATTTGCTGCTTCTCCCATGGCCCCAGCTTTGTGCGTCCTTTCTTGCATCCATGGCACTTGAAGGTCGGGATCTCATGCCTCAAGAGGCCATGGCTCATGGGTCTGATCCCCACCTCATCATAGAATTGGGAGGGGGACAGCCAAAAGGGGGGCATCCCACATTCATACCTGTGCTGAGTCTTCTGCCCTCCCCCCCCCAGCATGCACCTGGGGTCCCCCGGATCCTGGTTGGGAATCGGCTGCACCTGGCTTTCAAGCGGCAAGTTCCAACAGAGCAGGCACGTGCCTACGCAGAAAAGAACTGCATGACCTTCTTCGAGGTCAGCCCGTTGTGCAACTTCAATGTCACCGAGTCCTTCACTGAGCTGTCCCGTATCGTGCTCATGCGGCATGGCATGGAGAAGATCTGGAGGCCCAACCGAGGTGAGGTGCGGCCAGTGGGGCCACCAGGGCCTGAGACCTGAGTGTAGAGTGCAGTGGACAGGTGACCCTTCAGAGGTCGTGGTCCCTCCCAGGTGTCGGGGCTCCCCAGTTGTAGAACTTCCACAACGTGCTGCAACTAAACCAACTTGCATCCTGCATGTGCTTTATGTGGGGGTCCCAGAGTTATGGGAGAGGACCGTGCCTTACATTCCGATGATGCCCTCATGCTGGGGGTGGTGACCTGTCTCAGAGCAAGCAGGGGAACGGCTTCTAATCCCTGTGTACTTCCCGGTCCTTCAGCTGCTCAAGCCATGCCCACCCAGAGCTGCCAGGGATAGCTAGTGTTCCCAGAAGCTTCAGTCTCCTTCGAGGTGCTGGGGCAGAGCTGGCTAAGCTCTCAGAAGTGGGGTCCCCAAGGACATTTCTCAGTATGCAGCTGTAGGGAGAAAGCAGGAGCAGGGTGCCATCCAGGGGCTGAACCCGGTGGTGCCCTGCACCAAGTAGAGTAGTAGAGCATCCAGGGTCCTGGTTTGGAAACCTCCATCCCCCACTAGTGTCACTTGTGCTCATCTGGCCAGATGACAGCTTGTCCCTTAGTGTCCCCCCGACTCAGGTCCATAGGCTCCGAGATCTCTCAGCACCTCACTGTCTTTCTCTCCAGTCTGAACGTCCCCATCATCTGACCGCCCTGCCCATGGTCTGACCCTCTCCATGGCTGACCCCTGCCATAGTCTGATCCTCCTCCCATCTGACACCTCCCCCACCGCTGATCCCTTCCCCCTATGGTTTGTTTTGACCCCTGTTGTCTGACTCCCCCTCTCTCTGACCACCCCCCGCAGTGTTCAGCCTGCAGGACCTCTGCTGCCGTGCCATCGTCTCCTGCACTCCCGTGCACCTCATCGACAAGCTCCCACTGCCTGTCACCATCAAGAGCCACCTCAAGTCCTTCTCGATGGCCAATGGCATGAATGCCGTGATGATGCATGGGCGTTCCTACTCTCTGGCCAGTGGGGCGGGGGGTGGCGGCAGCAAGGGCAACAGCCTCAAGAGGTCTAAGTCCATCCGTCCCCCCCAGAGCCCACCCCAGAACTGCTCCAGGAGCAACTGCAAGATCTCCTAGCAGGGGAGGCAGGCACCGCCCATCCGGACACGCTTGGGGAGTGAGGTCTCAGGCTTGGGGAAGCTCCTTGCTGGGCGCTCGGGCGGCACCATGTGCAGGGAAGACTGGCCACATGACCCCTCCTGGGAGCGTGGAGCACACCTAGTAGGCAGGTGGTCTCAGCCAGAGGAGCCCTGTAGGACAGCAGAGGCTGGGTCTCTAAACAAGCCCAAGTCCCCACATGCTGTTCCTGGTCCCACCTCGAGGGAACTGTCCTGGGGTCCCGTGGGGCCTGGCTCACTTATTTATATAGAAGACATTTCACCACTTTTATACCTTTTTTAAAGGGCCGACAGGGAAGCCTTAATGCAGCCATGGGGTGAGCTCATGTCTGCTCGTGGGGATGACCTTTGGGACATTGGAGAGGGTAGAACTGGAGGCAAAGATGGGAAGGAATTTACCGTCACTTACACTTCACGTGGAGTGTGGACTATGCAAGGCCCAGTGGGGACACATGGAGCTCTGGGCAGCACTCTTGGACCCCGCTACCTGTGCCAGCCTTTCTGAGTATTGTGGCTAGTGTGCCTACCACACAGTGCTGGTCAGTGGTGCGGGTGTGGGCCCGGCAGTCTGCACAATGGGGTGATGTTCCTGTGTGTCATGGAGCCATGGACTCCAAGCAGAATGTCAATGTTTCTGGGAGAAAAAAGAAGTGGGGTGCACCTCCCTCCCTGCGTGGAGGCACTTTTACACGTTGCTACGTGAGATGGGCTCTGCATCTCTGTGTGTGATGCAGAGCTGTCTGTAGGCAATGAATACTTGAGGGGTTGCCAGGTGCTCTGCAGGTTTGGACTGAGTCTTGGCCCACTCGCCTCTGGGCGTCTGGATCCCACTCTTGCCAGCTTCTGTTCCCTGACCTTGGTTATCACCCCATAGCTGCTCCTCACCTGGCATCGCCCCTCTTTGAGGTCACATGTCACCAGAACCATTTCTTAGTGATGCCACCTGGAGCAGTCAAAGCAGTGGACCTCCTCCATGATCTGGCAGCCAACCCTGAGCTGGAGGCCTTCATTCCTTCCACCTGCCTGGCTGGTGACATGACCACCAGTCACACTGGTGCTCAACTCTACCTCCTGCTGGGCTCCCCTGGGACTCCTCTGTGGAGGGAGCCCTATGCCTGCTGTTCTGGGAGGCAGGTTGGGCAGGGGTCTGCGGCCCTTGTGAGCAGAGGTGCCTGGGGGCTCTGCTCAAGGCCTAGCCACCAGCAGGGTCAGGCAGAGGAGGCCCTGCCTGTCCTGTCCTGCCAACGGAGCCCCTTTCTTTGTATTTTGAACCAAATAACATGGACTTTGTTGTGAGGGTGTGGACGGTCCTGCGTTCACCACATAAACACTACCCTTTGCTGCTGACACTCGCACCATTCCTGAGCTCATTTTGGACGGTTTTTGTTTCTTTGTACAGTAAATGTAAGCTCTGACCTCCAGGCTACATTTTATGTGAATTAAAGTCTCTGGTTTTAACTGGCTGGTCAGTTGGAGGTGTGAGGTGGGGTGGGGTCTGCACTCTGACACATGATGGGTCCAGGGCTGCTTTGTCGATCCCACCGCCCCCCCCATGTTGACGGGTACGCATCCTGGCCACTGGGGCGAGTGTGGCTGCATCAGCCTCTCTGGATACAGGGATGAGCTGTGTTTCTCTGGGTTAGGCAGGCAGCCCACCCAGCCTGTCCTTCCCTACACGGCAGTAAAGCAGATGGCTGGCGGGATCACCTGTTCCCGCTGCCCCCTGGCTGGAGCCTGGGATCCTGAACCTGGGAAACCGAACCCTCCCTGGGGGTGTTGGTGGGGCATAACCACTGCTGCCTGGGAGGGCAGTGAGCATGGAGCAGGGATGTGGTGGAGGCGGTGGGCCGTCCCCTGACACGCACTCCAGCCCAGGACCATCACACTGCACATTACCCCACCTCAGGCCGCAGCTTTGTGGGAGGGTTCTGGGCCTTGAGCCCCGTCCAAAGTCTGGCCCACTGGCCCCCCATGCCTGAGGCCCCCTCACAGAGCAGATCAATGGCGTCCTCTGCACCTGGTATGTCTTTTGGTCTCATTCTGACCAGACCAGGCTCTTATTACCCTGCCTCCTGGGTCAGAAGGTCAGACACAGGGTCATGGGACGTTTTCATCCAGTCTTAAAGCAGATGCTCCTGGGGCCCCAGACCCCAGGGAAGGGTTTGGAAGGGCAGATTCTGGCGGTCCCTGTGTTTGATCTCCCTTCCCCCTCCTTCCGGGTCCTGAATCCAAGCTGGGAGGGTCTGTGAGGCTGCTTTGATCCCCTGAGCCCAGTGCCTGGAGGGAGGAGGGCCTCCGGTTACAGTGTCCCCTCCCCTCCCCTCCCCACTCTGACCAGAGCCAGCCCTTCTCCGCCCCTCAGTAACCCTGGTGGCCAGTGTCTCCTTGCTCCTGGGCCTCAGCCCCTCCCCCACCACGCCCCCTGCCCTCTGTTAACCACAGAGGGCCAGGCTGTGAAGGGGTCTTGCCAGAGCTCAGATCTGGAATCCACCCAGTCCTTTGCACAGGGGTGTTGAGAGGGAGCATCTGCTGTGGGCTCAGACCTTGGGGGCCAACGGGGAGCCCAGAGGATCGGTCAGGGGCCCAAGGTCAGGGTGCTGACCACAGGCCTGGAAGGGTGGATGCCTAAAGGGATCGGCGCAAAGCAGGGCCTGAAGGGCTGGCAGCCACACGCCCCCGCCCTGTGGGCCGGTGGTCCCCATGTCAGCCCAGAGGCTGCTTCTACCGCTACTCCTCATGGTTGGGCTGACCTCGGGGGCCAGCCTGCTGCAGGGGCCCAGAAGCCACTCAGGCGTGTGCCCCAACCAGCTCAGCCCCAACCTGTGGGTGGACGCCCAGAGTACCTGTGAGCGCGAGTGCGTCGGGGACCAGGTGAGTGTGGGCACCATCCCCACCCACCCGGGTGGGAGTCCCAGGAAATTAGGGTGGCCTGGGGGAAGCTCAGCCCCTATCCCGACCCCCAGCCCTTGGAGTCTCCGTACTCTTCTCCCACATCCTGCAGGGGTTTCAGGCCATGCTCCTATGAGGGTCTTAAGGGACACTCCATCTTTACCCTCATCACCCACCAAACCTGCCCACCCCCACCCAGGGGTCAGTTGTTCTCAGGACCAGCCAGGTAGAAAGGCAGGAGACACATTTGGATGCCCCTTTGCAGCCTGGCCATGCATCCCCTGAAGTGGCCTTGAGCATGCTGCCTGTCTCCCCTGGGCCTCAGGTTCATCATCTGCACTACGGGAATAATTAAACCTGCTTTGAGGGGTGGGGGGTCTGAGGATTCAGTGAGATGACACACAGGACATGTCAGTGAGGCAACTGTAATAGCCCTGGATGGAAATTTGTGCAAGCCTGCTTGGCTTTCCAGAGGGAAAACTGAGGCTCAGGGAGATGGAGTAGGGGCACCCCAACCTAGCGATGCCAGAGCCCTGGCTGAGGCTGGGGAGTGTTTGCCTGCTGAACTGCCCCTCACCCCCCCTCCTCCAGGACTGCCTGGCCACTGAGAAGTGCTGCACCAACGTGTGTGGGCTGCAGAGCTGTGTGGCTGCCCGATTCCCTGAGGGTGGCCTGGCCACACCTGCACTGGTGGCTTCGTGCGAGGGCTTCTCATGCCCACAGCAGGGCTCAGACTGCGACATCTGGGACGGGCAGCCTGTGTGCCGCTGCCGTGACCGTTGTGAGAAGGAACCCAGCTTCACCTGTGCCTCAGATGGCCTCACCTACTATAATCGCTGCTACATGGATGCAGAGGCCTGCCTGCGTGGTCTCCGCCTGCACGTCGTGCCCTGCAAACACATTCTCACCTGGCCACCCAGCAGCCCAGGGCCACCTGAGACCACTGCCCGCCCGACACCCGGGGACACCCCAGTGCCACCTGCCCTCTACAGCAGCCCTTCCCCACAGGTGGTGTATGTGGGGGGCACCGCCAGCCTCCACTGCGATGTCAGTGGCCGCCCGCCACCCGCTGTGACCTGGGAGAAGCAGAGTGAGCAGCGGGAGAACCTAATCATGCGGCCAGACCAGATGTATGGCAATGTGGTGGTCACCAGCATTGGGCAGCTGGTGCTTTACAATGCCCGGCCTGAGGATGCCGGCCTCTATACCTGCACTGCACGCAACACTGCTGGCCTGCTGCGGGCTGACTTCCCACTCTCTGTGGTCCAGCGGGATCCAGCCAGGGACAGGGCCCCCAGCGCCCCTGCGGAGTGCCTGCCCCAAGCGCAGGCCTGTGCCAGCCCCCTCTCCAGCCATGTCCTCTGGCACTTTGACCCACAGCGGGGTGGTTGCATGACCTTCCAAGTTGGCAGCTGCGATGGAGGCACCCAGGGCTTTGAGACCTATGAGGAGTGCCAGCAAGCCTGTGCCCGCGGACCAGGGGATAACTGTGTGCTGCCAGCCGTGCAGGGCCCCTGCCAAGGCTGGGAGCCACGCTGGGCCTATAGCCCACTGCTACAGCAGTGCCACCCCTTCGTGTATGGTGGCTGTGAAGGCAACAGCAACAACTTCGAGAGCCAAGAGAGCTGTGAAGATGCCTGCCCTGTGCCGCGCATGCCACCCTGCCGGGCCTGCCGCCTCAGGAGCAAGCTGGCGCTGAGCTTGTGCCGCAGTGACTTTGCTATTGTAGGGCGACTCACAGAAGTGCTAGAGGAGTCGGAGGCTGGCGGCGGCAGCATTGCCCGCGTGGCCCTAGACGATGTGCTCAAGGATGACAAGATGGGCCTCAGGTTCTTGGGCACCAAGTACCTGGAGGTGACGCTGAGTGGCATGGACTGGGCTTGCCCCTGCCCCAATGTGACAGCAGGTGATGGCCCACTGGTCATTATGGGTGAAGTACGAGACGGTGTGGCTGTCCTGGATGCTGGCAGCTATGTCCGTATCGCCAGCGAGAAGCGCATCAAGAAGATCTCAGAGCTGCTGGAGAAGAGGGCCTGCGAGCTGCTCAACCGCTTCCAGGACTAGCCCCACCTACCTAGAGCACTGCCTGCCCCTGTCCTCCAGTCCTCCCAGTCCCCGCCCCCCAATAAAAGCATTTCCCAGGAGGGACATCATGGCCTGCCGGTGCTGAGCCTCCCAGGGTGACCACCCTTCCCTTCCCCCATCCAACCTGTGATCCAGCTGGGTCCTGCCACCACACTGGTGTTTAGGCTCTAGTCCAAGGTCACCATGGAGCACCAGTTCCCTCCTGGGGAGCCTCCTGTTTCCCTCCAAGAGCACAAGCCAGGACTAGGTCCAGGGGTGGGTGCCACCTCTGGTGGCAGGAGGGCCATGCAGCCAGTTCAGTCCTGCCTCAGCAGTCCCTGAGTCTTCTCCCTTCTCTGCCGTGCAAGTGGAACAGCAGGGTCTAGGACGTCCATAAGCCCTGACCCCATAGGCCAGACCTCTCCTGCCCCCAGGAATGGAGCCCTTGGAGACAGCTTGCACACCCAGCACCACCTAGGGTGCTCCCAGGAAGAGGCGTAGTGGACACCAGCAATAGGATAGCAGGAAACACTTTATTCCCAGGCTCTCAGCACCCCTGTGGCCACTGACCAAGAGCCCCGAGAATGGGCAAGGCCAGTCTGCATGGCCTGGTCCAGGGAGGCAGGGGCTGGCTATCTGGGTTTGTCCCAGAAGGGGCCTCACTGGGGACATAGGCATGCAGGAAGAAGGGTTACTCTTTCCGGAAAATCAGGCATTTGTTGTTGGCTGGCATATCCACCTAGGAGAGATGCTTTGGCTGAAGAAGCTGCCCAGGGAGGCCACCCAGACCCCCAGGCCCTCCTACCTACCATCTTCTCCAAGAGAAGACCGCTGGCCTGGCCCAGGTCCTCCAAGAAGGCCGTGTCCCGCAGCCCCCACTCTGGGTTCCTGCAGGGGGAAAAGAGGTAGAGTTGGGAGTCACCCAGCTAACCTGCCTTCCCAAGTAGGCCCACGCACCCCCCCACCCCCAGCTCTAACCTGCATCTGAGCGACAGGTCAAAGTCCACATTGCTCTGGGGAGAGATCTTCCCATTGACAGCGTAGGGCTGTGGAGACAGAGGGACACAGGGTCAGCCACTGGGCAGACTTGCAGGCTGCGCCTGGAGGATGAAAAGGACACTATGCTCCCTGCTCCCATGAGCCTAGGGTGTAGGGAGACAGAGGGGAAGGTCTGGGCCTGTTTCAATGGTGGCAGGTAGTGGGGGAGAGGGCAAAGGAAAATACTGAGACGGGAGGGAAGGAGACTAGAAAAGAGGGGACGGCTGAGGCTGGTTGGGATCATAGGGTCAGGGGAGTTCCATCTCGTGCAGGGGCACTCACCCCATAGGTGATGAGCAGCGCCTTGGGCTTGAGCAGGTGTCCTGCTGCTCTGAAGAGCCCCTAGGGAGGGGAGAGGCAGGATGGCAGTGAGTAACTTTACCCAGGCCTCCAAAAGAGCTCTGGGCTGGGGGCTGGAGACTCAACCTGACCTCCCCAGGCCTCAGTGCCTTATGAAATGGGGCAAACCTGGCACCCAATGCAGGGGGAAGGGTGCCCCCTGGCGCAGGTACTGGTCCTTGGGTGGCTCGCTTCAGCTCCCACAGACCTCGGTGCAGTTCAGGGGGCTGATGTGGATCATGTTGATGCAGAGCAGCAGGTCCAGCGACTGCGGCTGGATCCCGCCCCATTTCTCCCAATCCCAGGTCACGTCCAGGTACAGCGGAGCCTTCACGTTGGACAATCCCTGGCCTTGAGTGGTGGCCGAGATGCTGTCGGAGGGGCAGCCCGTGAGTGGAGGTGGCCTGTGCACCCGTTTCTGACGCCCCCTACAACCGCGTTCACAGCAGTCACGTGGGCTCGAGAAGCCGGGGTGGGGGTGGGCGTGGGGGTCGGGGGGCGAGGCCCACTTTCATCACCCAGGGCCCCGTCTTCCCCGCACCTGTCCAAGCAGCGCTGGTCCACGTCAGACGGCTGCCACTCCGCAAGGGGGAAGGCCCGCGCGAAGTGGGCCGCATGCTGGCCGGAGCCCGAGGCCACTTCCAGCACGCGAATGCCGCGCTGAGCCGGGTCCACATACTGCCGCAGAACGCGCAGAATTGGTTCCTTGTTCCGCTCGGCGGCCGCTGCCAAAAGCATCACGGCGCCACAGCTAGTCCGTCCAGAGCGGTAGCACGGCCGCTGCAAGGCCCGCCGGGAGTTGTAGTCAGGCCGTCGCGAAGCCCGCCCCCCGCGAAGCCCGCCCCCACGGACTACAGTTCCCAGGAGGACGCGTATAGCAGTTTAAAGGGCCCGCTTCATCTGGAGGCGCGTAGGGGGCGGCTGCCCCTGCGGAGCATCGGGCGGAGAGTTTGGGTCGCTGGTGTGTAGGTGCTCTTCAGCTCAGCACTCTGTCGCCATGGCTGCCCTAACATTTTCATAGTTCTTGTGACTCTGAAATGGTCTCGTTCGTGCTTGCACCGAAATGGATGGTTACCCCATGCTTCCGGTTTTTTCTCGTCTTGAAATTTCTGCTGTCACCGACAGCTTATTGAGATGAGAAAAAAAACAAACTAAAGAAGTTACGTGCGCCGCCCGGGAATCGAACCCGGGTCGCAAGAATGGGAATCTTGCATGATACCACTACACCAGCGGCGCTTGTTGGGTTCCTTGTGGCTCGCGAGACCTAGGAGGTTGTGACGCAACCTCCCCCTGCTCAAATGTCATAATGCGTGCGCCGCGCCACCCCTGCGATCGCAGCCTGGGAGAGGAGCGTCTAGAGGCTGCAAGCGGCACCTAGGGTAGGAATGCCGGCTGCACGGGTCCGCGGTGGTGGGAGATCTCACAGTGTCGCTTGGGAGCTGGACCCAGGGACGGGGGTTTGTGAACCGCCTCGACGCGGGCCTGCGGCGTGGAAGCCATGGCAACCGCGGGTTTTCCCGAGCCGAAGCGTGCGGGGGGCGCTTCAGGTCGGCGGGCTGGTCTCAGCCTGCGGGAACCCAGGAAGCCTGAGAGAAGGCAGACTCGGTGATGCCCCGGGCTTGTCTGTGACACTGAAATGACCGGCGCTCGCCCGGGTCCGCGGATGGTGTGAGGATCGGTGACCCCTGAACCAAATCGGAGGCCGATTTGTATCCAAGGTGTTTCCCCAGTTGTCCGTTTGGGGCCCATGTCTCAGGGGGGCCCTTTCTCGCAGGCTGAGAGCCGGGGCCCTGCAGTCCAGACTAGCTTATCTCCTTTGCTGGGCAATTTTTCACGAGTGAGACCCCGGAAACCTAGGGCACTCAGACTCTAACCCAGACTTCAGCCTGGCATTGCCCGCCAGGGGCCAGGGGTATGCGGGTGGGGCCAATGACCAGGGAGTGTGGGTCTAGTGACTAGCAAACTACGGCCCGCGGGCTGGATCCGGCCCGTTTGAAATGAATAAAACTAAAAAAAAAAAAAAAAGACCATACCCTTTTATGTAATGATGTTTACTTTGAATTTATATTAGTTCACACAAACACTCCATCCATGCTTTTGTTCCGGCCCTCCGGTCCAGTTTAAGAACCCATTGTGGCCCTCGAGTCAAAAAGTTTGCCCACCCCTGGCAGATGTGGAGGGAAGTGAATCTCCTGAGTGGTGCAGGGTGGGCCCGTCCGCACAGCCTCCCTGGGAAAGTCCCACTCAGTGGACGGGCCTCCCCCCTCCAGGAAGAGCCATTGGCATTCTGCATTGTGACCACCCGACTTCCTTCAACACTTCACAGCCCTGAGCTTTTCTTAATCTGACTCGATTTTTGCCTCACTTTCTCCTGATTGCCAGCTGAACATTTTCCGTATCTCGGGGTGGAGGAGAGGTCTCTCTCAATGCACTCCCTGCCCCTGACCCCCTGTGACCAGTGATGGTCACCTGAGATCTCACTACCTGCGCCCCTCACCAGCCAAGCCCCCCACCACTCCTAGCCCACCTAGAGCCGGGGTGGGGAACCTTTTTTCTGCCAAGGGCCATTTGGATATTTATAACATCATTTGCTTAATATAACTCACTTAATATAAATTTATGTTGCTATAAAACAAAAACGGGCCATACAAAGTTATCACATTAAAAATTAGCCTGCTGCCCTGGCTGGTTTGGCTCAGTGGATAGAGCGTCGGCCTGCGGACTGAAGGGTCCCGGGTTTGATTCCGGTCAAGGGCATGTACCTTGGTTGCGGGCGCACCCCCAGTGGGAAGTGTGCAGGAGACGGCTGATCAATGTTTCTGACGATCTCTCTCCCTTCCTCTCTGTAAAAAATCAATAAAATATATTTTTTAGAAAATTAGCCTGCTATATCTTAATCAATAAAAAATATATTTAAAAAAATTAGCCTGCTATATTTGGCCAAACATTTACTAGTAATTCACTCACCCCTAATGCCTTGGCAGGGCCAGACCAAATTATTTCATGGCCCCTATACGGCCCCCACCCCTGACCTAGAGGTACCAGTTTCCTGCTTGCTTCACCTGTGATTCCCTGGGCACCGGGCACCCTGTGGTATTGTCAGATAATAAATATATGTTCTGTCTTTGTTCCAGTTCCTGTCACAGAGCTCCTAACACACTGGAATGTCCTGAATGAGGGGGCGAGAGGAGCATTTGCTGTTATTAATAAGCCCCTTTCAGGCTTACCTGGGTTTACACCAAAGGTGACTCTTGGCGGATGAGGGCTGGTTGCCAGAGGAACTCACCTTGTGATCATATGGAGCTTGGGACTTTCTTCCCTGCCCCTGACTTCGGAGGTTGAGCAGCTGGAGACTGAGCTAATCGCCAATGAACAATGACTTAATTAGCCCGTGTACTGGAACTTCCATAAAAACCCTAAATGGGAACCTGGGTTGGTGAACATGTGGAGGTGCTGCTCCTGGAGAGGGCATGGAGCTCCAAATCCTCCCCACCTCTCCCATGCATCTCTTCTATCTGCTATTCCCACCTGTATTCTTCTCTTTTTTTAAATGTATTTTTATTGAATTCAGAGAGAAAGGGAGCCGAGGTTTGCCGAACGCTGGGATAAAGGATCCGCAGCCAGTGATAGCATTTCAGAGGCAGTGATATATGAAAAATGTATTTAAGGCTAGTAGGCGGTGGTTCTATAGATTTAAGAAAAGGAGTGTTTATTTATAGATTAAACTACATTATACATGTACTATATATAAGAAAGGTTGAAACGGAATCATTTGAGGGTCTGGAACAGATTAATTCCATTTACATTATTGCTATGGGAAAACAATTTTCGAACAAATCACTTCGCAAACAGCCTTCTGGAATGAGGTTTGAGAAATGAGGTTCCACTGTACCCTAAAACTTGGTGGCTTGAAACAACAGACATTCATTTTCTCATTTCTGGAGGCCAGAAACCCCAACTAAAGGTGTCAGCTCCCTCAAAGCCCAAGGCGGTTGCTGGGGGCTCCAGGGATTCCCCGGCTTGTGGCCACATCACTGCAGTTTGTCTCCATCTTCACTGTGCTGTCTCCTCTGCACGTCTCTGTGACCAAGTAGCTCTCTCCTTTCTCTTACAAGGACACTCACCAGTGGGTGTAGGGCCCACCCTAATCCAGGTGCCTTATCTCAGTCTTTGCCGACTGACTCCACATAAGGTCACCATCTGAGGTTCGAAGCACACGTATCCTTTGGGGAACCCAGTCAACCCACTGCACTTGGGTTTGGGAATGGGCTGGGCCCTCCCTGGAAGCTGGGCAGGGAGGCGGAGCATGTAGCCAGAGCCTTTTCCTGGGGGCTGCTGGCCACCCCTCCCCTGGCAGAAGCCCACCTTCCTGACTGGGTTGGTGAGGGCCTGGGTCTCAGGTCTGGAAAGTGACTGAGGACTAAAAATGTAAGCTCCTTTCATCGTTTTCATAACATTTTAGTATTGCACCCAGAACCTTTTTAAAAATATATTTTTTTAATTGATTTTAGAGAGAGAGGAAGGGAAAGGGAGAGAGACAAACATCCATGAGAGAGGAACATGGATTGGCTGCCTCTTGCACGCCCCCTGACTGGAAATTGAACCAGGGGCTCTTGGTGCACTGGACGTTGATCAACCAACGGAGCCACACCGGCCGGACTAGAACTGTTTTTAGGGTGGAAGGAGCAACAGGAGAGAGCCAGGTGGTCTCTGCTTCAGCTCTCTAGAAGCATTATAGAAACCAGCTGAGCCACACTGGCCGGGGCGAGGTTAACAGTTCTTAATGTGACAGGGGCTAGGGGTTATATAGTATATAGGACAGTGTAAAATGGATGGGGGCCCTGGGGTGCAATCCACCCCAGATGAGGGGAAAATGCTTTACGTGCTCGCCTGAGGAAGGGCCACGGCCTGTTCCAGGAGGCAGCACAGACCAGCAGGCCTGGGGCACAGGGCAGGGGTCTCTGTACAGTCTCTGAGGGGGTTTGGGGAAGCGATCTCTGTTCTGGCTACATCCAATGCGAGGGTCCCACCGCCGTGAAGTCGTTGCACAGTCTCTCCCCACAGGGGAAGGCCAGGGCGGTGGGGGACGGGGCGGCAGACCTTGTAGAGCTGGCTGGGGTTCCTGCTGGTTCAAGAGAAAGCAGCTGAGTTTTGGGGGGCTCTGGCTGGGCCCATCCCACGCCCCTTGGATGCCAACCTTTGTCCCCAAGCCAGGGTGAGTCTTGTGTTCATAGTTGCGTCCTGCGAGCAGCGAGGCTGGCAGCTGCCCCTACAACTTGGCCTTCATCCTTCCTCCGCTCCCCTTGCTCCCTTGGCTCAGGGTCTCCTGGCGACCCCTGGGCTCTCGCACCCTCCACCCCTGCAGCCCCTGCAGGACCTGTGCCTCCTCCCCTCCCACTTGTCAGGACCATTCCAACTGGGCTGGTACCCGGGGCCCTTCTCAGGCCTCTGGACCCAACCTTTGACCCCAGACTAGGCCTGTGGGCAGGGCCAGGATAAACAGCCTTGGGGCTGTGGCCACCAGAGGGCTTCAGCAGGGGCTGGGCCTGTCTGCCTGTTAATGGGCCCGTCCCTCCCCCTTATTCAGGCAGCCAGAGCGGGTGCCTGGGGACGAGGAGCTCTCGGAAAGCTTGTGCCAGCTTCAGGGCTGAGGGTGAGGATGTGCCCCAGGACCTTGCTCCCTCTGCCAGGCTCACAGACTCTCAGGATGGCCCTCCTCAGACGCCTCACCCTGTGGTGTCTCCCCAGAGTGAGCGAGCAGCGTGCTGGAGGCCACCAGGAAGGCCAGGACACCAGCTGGTGCAGGAACGCGCTGGCCGTGATGCTGCTGGGGGTAGGGGTAGGCCCCACAGGGGTGGACAGAATCCTGGACTCCCGGACATGTTCTCGCCTGGGGCCCAGCCTTCCTCTTGCCTCTCGGGGTCACAGGCCTAGCCCAGCCTGAGGCGGTAGCTGGGAGGAAGGCATTTGACCTTGAACCCTGCTTAGGACAGGGTGCAGAGCTAAAGGGCTGTGTGTGAGAGGCACATGAGAGGAAAGACAGCCCAGCCACCCCTGGGATGCAAGCTTTCGCGAGGGTCCGAGCAGGCCTGGTCACCTACACAGGTGCATAGGGTGGCCTGGGAGGGACTCAGCACAGAGCAGGTGGGGTGAGGGGTTCCTCCTGCTGGTCTGTTCCCTCTGCACCCCTCACTCCTCTCCCCTCTGCTTAGTGTCTGCCCTGCCTGGGTGGGAGGCTTCAGACCACTGTGCTCTGGGCTGTGGGGGTGTCACCAGAAAGGGGACCAGCTGGGACAGTGAAACAAAAGAAGGGACTAAGGCAGAAGAAGCAATAGGAGAGAGAAGTCAGAGAAAAGGGGGCCTTGGGGACAGGTTCAGAGGGTGAGCCTGGACGGTCTGCCACTGCCCACTGCTCCCCTGAAAGCAAGTCTCATGGGGTCCCTGGAGTCAGGAGGAAAACAGCAAAGGTACAAGGCATGGGCGTGCTCTTGAGAGAACTCACCTTGTGTCTTTGTCTTGAGTCTAGACTTGGAATTGTTGTCAATCACTCAGGCTCACCAAACCCTTGGCTGAGCTGGCCCGGCACAGGGTTAAGTCCGACAGAGACAGAACAATTCCTTTCCAGGGAGAAGGCTGGGCATATTGACAGGCGAGTAGAAAGAGGGTTAGAAATAAGAGACGGAACGTTCTGTGAAGGCCCGGCCTGTGTATTACTTATCTGTCACAGGTTCTCGTTTCTCGAAGAGGAACTTGATGAGTTCACAGAGTAGGTCTGGGTTTGTGGTTCCCGCGGGGACGCACAAGAAACGGGTCTCATTCGGGGTAAGTGACCCCAACAAGGTCTCCCTCTGAACTTCGCTGCAGTTGGGGCGCTTAGTGGGACCTGGCGTGCGCCCTTCTATTTGGGTTGTAGTTGGGACTCCGGAGAGTTGTCTCAGGCTTTATTTTTTTAATGTTTTTTATGTTTTTTAGAGAGAGAGGGAGGGAGAGGGGTGAGGGATAGAGAAATAGAAACATCGACGGGAGAGGAACGTCATCAATCGGCTGCCTCCTGCACGGCCTTTACTGGGGATTGAGCCTGCAACAAAGGTACATGCCCTTGACCAGAATCGAACCTGGGACCTTTCAGTCCGCAGGCTGATGCTCTATCCACTGAGCCAAACCGGCTAGGGCTGTCTTCCGGTTTTAAACTAGACCACATCTCCCGGCTTAACGTGTTTATGTTGGTAGTCTTTATCAGCGGCACATGGAATTTTGTTTCCATATTCCTGTAATGCTTTTTGTGCCTGTCCTAGCTTAATGGCATAAGACAGTGATTCCCAAAGTGGGCGCTACCGCCCCCTGGTGGGCGCTGCAGCGATCCAGGGGGGCGGTGATGGCCACAGGTGCATTTGTTTTAACTTTTTTTGTATTACCTTTCTATTCTGAGTTCAATAAATAAGTTTCATAATTTCAAACTTCAATGTTTCTAATTTACACCTTTCTTTACTATATTTTACGAAAAAGGTAGAAACATTAATACATATATCTTTCTGTTTAATTGCTATTAAAATTTTAAAAAAATTAATTTCCAGGGGGCGCTGAGTAATATTTTTTCTGGAAAGGGGGCGGTAGGCCAAATAAGTTTGGGAACCACTGGCATAAGACACTAGCTGGAGGGTTTCCTCATGTATTAGGAGGTTAGATCTGAGAAAGGGACTGCCAGAGGTGAGTTTGTTATCAGCTGGGACCTCGGTTCTTTTTGTTGTCGCAGAAAAGATGTTAAGGTCAACAAAAATGAAAGCAAAGCAAAGTGGGATTTATTGACGACACACTCCAAGCGAGGAGTGGGCCAACTGAGAGAGACAATGACCCCAAATTCCTGGGTTATATGGTTTAAACCAAAAAGATGTTACTGGGGAGAGGAGACCTCGGTTCTTGTCTTCTTGAGGGAAAGATTTCAAAGAGACAAAGTGTAGAAAAGCAAGCAAGAATATATTGGCCGCAGCAAAAATATGCTTAGGAGAGTGAAACAAGGAAGGGCATAGGAGAGCCTGGGCGGGGCTGCCTCGGCTCACTGGGAAGTCAGATCATGGTGGGCCTTGGAGACAGGTTCGGGGGTAAGCCCGGGAGGAGCTGACACTGCCCATTGCATCCCTCGTTGCAAATCTCATGGGGCCCCTTAGTGGTTAGGGGATACCTGGTGAGGGAAAGGGAAAAAGGAGAGGGGGAAGCACCTAGTTTCTTATTATTCTACTAGAGGCCCGGTGCACGAGATTCCTGCACTGGGCAGGGGGTTCCCTCAGCCCGGCCTGCGCCCTCTCACAGTCCGGGAGCCGTCAGTCAGACATCCTTAGCCTGCCGCAGAGGCAGGAGAGGCTCCCGCCACCACCGCTGTGCTCCCCAGCCTTGAGCATGGCTCCCTGTAGGAGCGCACTGACCACCAGGGGGCAGCTCCTGCGTTGAGCATCTGCCCCCTGGTGGTCAGTGCGCGTCATAGCAACCGGTCATTCCGATGTTCAGTCGATTTGCATATTAGTCTTTTATTATATGGGATAACAAGTTCAAAGGGGTTAACTTGTGATTTTTCTTTAGGTCCAGCTCTCATTCGCATGAGGCCTATGGGTAACATAGACACCCAGGTTCATAGACATCCTGAGGTTCTTGGCATAGCTTGTCTAGAGTCCCTTTTAGGGTTTGGTTAGCTCTTTGTACCTTATCTGAGGATTAAGGTCTCCATAATCAGTGTAAGTGATAGTTGATTCCTAAAGCTTGAGCCAGCCATTGTGTAATCTTGGCTACAAAAGAGGGTCCATTGTCACTCTGTAAGCTTTTTGGTAGTCCAAAGCTGAGTAAGATTTCTTTTAGTAGCTTTTTCTGTTTTGGTAGGAAGGCTTCAATCCATCCGGTAAGGGTGTCTACAAATACTAGCAATTATTTAAATCTAGCTTTGGGGGACATAGGAATGAAATCAGTTTGCCAATCCTCCCAGGGTATGTGCCCCAGTGTTGTACTGGGGTCAGGAGGTGACTGCGGGGTGATTTTTGGAGTAGAGCACACGCTGTTGGGTCACTTCCTTTACAGTTTTATGAAGCCGGTGTATCACAAACAGTTGGGAGACAAGGGTGGTGTTAACATAAAAACATTCAAACCTGTAAAGAATTTTTGTGAGTTTATTTGAGCCAAACTGTCGACAATTGCCGGAAGCAGAATCTCAACGGATCGGGATAATGTTCCAGAGAATGGCGGGTTTTCATCTATTTTTATACATTGCAATCAAAGGAGGGGACATAGGTGGGTTACATAAAATCCATTGGTGATAGATTAGAGAGGGGGGGGGCGGGGAAAGCAAAGGAGGGGGAACCCCTGGGATTGGATAAAAAGTAAAATGATAGACACATACTTAGGTGGGTGCAGGATAGTCAATAGTCAACAGTTAACATGATAACAATAACAATGAAGGCATTTGTAGTGTCTGTCCTGGTGTCCTGGCACATTAGGTTGTGCCCCAAGGGGTCCAGAAAAAGGGAAGTTACAACTTACCCAGACATTTCAAGGGTATGTTATCATAGATGCAAAAAGACAGATGGGCTCAGTTAAGGTAAAGGTTGACCTTGTCAGTGAAGATACGGGCCCAGAAGGTGACTACCCACCATAACTGCGTTTAGTCAAAGTTTAATTTCAGACCATCCTTTGTGGTTACTTTAGGTCTCTGAGTTTGCAAGACCGCCATGCAGGCCTTCCCTGAGCTGGTCAGGTCAATTTTTACCTTAACTGTCATTGAAATGTCAGGGTAACTTGTAACTTCCCCTTTTTTTTTTCCCCCTTAACCCCTCAGGGCACAACCAAATGCCCTGGGCGCCAGGACAGATAACACAAATTTCTTCATTGTTATTATTATTATCATGTTAATTATTGGCTGTTAACTCTGCACCCACCTAAGTAAAAGAAGTATGTGTCTATCATTCTACTCTTTATCCAATCCCAGAGGTTTCCACGCTTTGCTTTCTCCTGCCTCTTTATTCTAATACCAATGGATTTCATGTAACCCACCTACGTCTTCTCCTTTGATTGAAATGTATAGCCGAACCGGTTTGGCTCAGTGGATAGAGCGTCAGCCTGTGGACTGAAGGGTCCTGGGTTCGAATCCGGTCAAGGGCATGTACCTTGGTTGCGGGCGCATCCCCAGTCGGGGGCGTGCAGGAGGCAGCTGATGGATCTTTCTCTCTCATTGATGTTTCTAACTCTCTATCCCTCTCCCTTCCTCTCTGTAAAAAACCAATAAAATATATTAAAAAAAAAAAAAGAAATGTATAAAAATAGGTGAAAAGCCGCTATTCTCCGGAGCATTATCCCGAGATTCTGCTTCCCAGCAATTGTCGACAGTTTGGCTCAAATAAACTCACAAACATTCTTTACAGGTTTCAATGTTTTTACATTAAAGGAGGTGTAACAATTGGCCCAAAATCTGGTGTCCACAGGCAGCAGAAGCCAGCTATTCCTGAATATCCCTGAAGCTGTCATTACTGTATGGGACCCGGAGAGCCACTATGGCCTGTTTTGTTTGGGGAGCCAGGGTCTGGACTCCTGGGGTAAGTAAATACCCTAAGGCCATGGTCGGCAAACCGTTGCTCCCGAACCACATGTGGCTCTTTGGCCCTTTGAGTGTGGCTCTTCCACAAAATACCACATCGGGCGCACACGTACAGTGCGATGAAAC